CGCCACACTTAACATCTTATTAATAAATGATGATTCGATTAATAAGTAGTGATCTGATTAATGGATAAAGCAATTATGTGTTAAAGTAATTAGCCACCTATAAAGGGATTAGGTTGGTATTAAGTGTAGTTTAAATATCCTGTACGGAAACGGCTTCTAGGTTATCGATCGGGTCAGTATATTATCGTTTCGTTCAGTTTCGACAGGGTGTTATTCCCCGTGGCTGGTTTCGGGACTGGACCATTTTTTTTTCTTATGTATTTGACGAGAGATCATTTATAACGTGCCGAAAGATCGATTCTCCACATTTATAATATTAACGATCCCCTATAATTCCTTTCAATTCGCCAAAAATTCGTTTAAAAATAGATGGGCAAAACTTAGCATTATTTTGTCTTTTAAGCAATGCGATGAGAACAATGGTAGAACCCTTTATACATATAATCTGACAAAGGCATCTGTTCAAAACCTCCAATAATGTCGCAGTGCCGCGCTTAAAATATCCGGGCGACCGTGGAAGGGTTGTAAGTAGGGAGCGTGGTGACGAGGGTGAATGCGGTTAAATTAATTGTCCCCGTTAGTCCTGCTGGCTTGTAGCTAGCGGGTATTTTGATTCGAGCAAAAAGAGACTAGGCCAACAGCAAACAGGAAAGAATGACCATGTTGTAACTATCCTAAAAGTTATTTTAACCATTTACGCCAAACAGTATTTTAAAAGACGAAGTTTGTAGTTAAATTCCAAGATTATCGGGGTTTATATTATTTTAACACTATTTTTAATCATTCAAATCAAATTGTTACCTATCTAGAAGTTGTTGCTTCCATATCACATCAATACCATATCGATATAAGCACTAACCAAGTTTCAACGATGTTAAAACTAAACCGAAGTCGCTTCATTGATTAAAAACGTTAATAGTTGTCAAGGATGCCTGACTTAATAATTAAGTCGAGGTCGCTTCCGGGCGAGGCGCTACATTAATACCATATCCGTATAAAAAGCTTTCAACGATGTCAAGGCCAATTGAGACGAGGTCGCTTCCGAGCGAGGTGTTATATTGATATCAAATTGATTAAAAACCTTAATAGTTAAGAATGCTTGACTTAATAATGAAGCCGAGGTCGCTTGCGGGCGAGGCGCTACATCAGTATTACATAGATATAAAAGCTAACCAGTTTTCAATGATGTCAAGATTAATTAAGTCGTGGTCGCTTGCGGGCGAGGCGTTATGTTGATATCAAATTGATTAAAAACTTTAATAGTTGTCAAGAATGCCTGACTTAATAATTAAGCCGAGGTCGCTTGCTGGCGAGGCGCTACATCAATACCATATCCGTATAAAAGCAAACCAGCTTTCAATGATGTCAAGATTAATTAAGTCAAGGTTACTTGCGGGCGAGGCACTACATTGATATCAAATTGATAAAAAAACCTTAATAGTTGTTAAGAATGCTTGACTTAAGAATTAAGCCGAGGTCGCTTGCGGGCGAGGCGCTACATTAACATTATATAGATATAAAAGCTAACCAGTTTTCAATGATGTCAAGATTAATTAAGCTGAGGTCGCTTGCAGGCGAGGCGCTGTATTGATATCAAATTGATTAAAAACCTTAATAGTTGCCAAGGATGTCTGACTTAATAATTAAGCCGAGGTCGCTTGCGGGCGAGGCGCTACATCAATACCATATCCGTATAAAAGCTAACCAGCTTTCAATGATGTCAAGATTAATTAAGTCAAGGTTACTTGCGGGCGAGGCACTACATTGATATCAAATTGATAAAAAAACCTTAATAGTTGTTAAGAATGCTTGACTTAAGAATTAAGCCGAGGTCGCTTGCGGGCGAGGCGCTACATTAACATTATATAGATATAAAAGCTAACCAGTTTTCAATGATGTCAAGATTAATTAAGCTGAGGTCGCTTGCAGGCGAGGCGCTGTATTGATATCAAATTGATTAAAAACCTTAATAGTTGCCAAGGATGTCTGACTTAATAATTAAGCCGAGGTCGCTTGCGGGCGAGGCGCTACATCAATACCATATCCGTATAAAAGCTAACCAGCTTTCAATGATGTCAAGATTAATTAAGTCAAGGTTACTTGCGGGCGAGGCACTACATTGATATCAAATTGATAAAAAAACCTTAATAGTTGTTAAGAATGCTTGACTTAAGAATTAAGCCGAGGTCGCTTGCGGGCGAGGCGCTACATTAACATTATATAGATATAAAAGCTAACCAGTTTTCAATGATGTCAAGATTAATTAAGCTGAGGTCGCTTGCAGGCGAGGCGTTATGTTGATATCAAATTGATTAAAAACTTTAATAGTTGTCAAGAATGCCTGACTTAATAATTAAGCCGAGGTCGCTTGCGGGCGAGGCGCTACATCAATACTATATCCATATAAAAGCTAACCAGCTTTCAATGATGTCAAGATTAATTAAGTCAAGGTTACTTGCGGGCGAGGCACTACATTGATATCAAATTGATAAAAAAAACCTTTATAGTTGTTCAGAATGCTTGACTTAAGAATTAAGCCGAGGTCGCTTGCGGGCGAGGCGCTACATGAACATTATATAGATATAAAAGCTAACCAGTTTTCAATGATGTCAAGATTAATTAAGCTGAGGTCGCTTGCAGGCGAGGCGCTGTATTGATATCAAATTGATTAAAAACCTTAATAGTTGCCAAGGATATCTGACTTAATAATTAAGCCGAGGTCGTTTGCGTTCGAGGCGCTACATCAATACCATATCAGAGAGATGCCAGATTGTTTCGGTTAATGGTTTTTTTTTCTAATCCTGTGTCGGTTCCTTCTGGTATTCCACAGAGTAGCGTTCTGGGTCCTTTACTGTTTAATATTTATGTTAACGACATATTTGACGTCGTTAATTATGCCCAATGTTTAATGTATGCTAACGATTTAAAACTCTTTCTCCGTATCTCCTCACCTCTTGATTGTTCTAGACTGCAATCTAACTTAAACAATCTACATGCTTTTTGCTTAAATAATCGCCTTTCATTAAACTTATCAAAATGTAATATTATTTCATTCTCTAGGAGGGTGAACACAATCCACTAAAATTATTGCGTCGCTGGTGAGAAGAATTGAGCGTATTCAATCTAAATTCCTCAAATTCATTTGTTTTAAATTTTCCGTTCAATACATTGATTACGAATCACCTTGCACTTCTTTTCGTGTTAACCCTCAACCAGCGTCGCTTTTGTGGGGATATATTATAGTTTTACAAACTTTTGAACAACAAGTGTGATTCTCCAATGTTTGTTAGTTCTATATGTTGTATTTATGGCACCTACTCCTAGAACCAATGCCTGTCAAAACTCTCCTTTATTGAGAATGGCAAGATCAGCAAATCGTGTTAATATAGATCTGTTTCAGCATTCTTTCTATGCATTTAAAAACTGATCTTTGCTGCAGTTGGCATATATGATATATTTATATCACCTAGACATAGGTGATATGGTTGTCGAGGTCGTTTGTGGAGTGATATAAATCGAAAGATATTGGTCAAGTTTTTTTGTTAATATCTTTCTATCTATTTTAGATATATTTTTTCCTTGTCAAGAACGGTGCCAGTTCTTTGCTTGCCAGTTCTGATAAGGCCTCACTGTTTTCAAATGATCTATATCTTCCCTTGTTGCATATCTCTCTTTTATGTTTATCGAGTATACCAGATGTGTTGTAATTTTTCTTCGCTCTTCTATAATTTAACAGGGCCGTTAAATCTCAGCTGGAGTTAATCACACCAAAATTTGCAATTTGCAGTTTTATTCAAAACAATTTGCTTTATAAGCACCACAGATTGAAGCAGATTGATGCATTTGAAGATGATAGCAGTTCTAAAAAGTATGATCTAACCATTACAATAAATGAGATACTTTTTATATAACGACGCCACGTAATGATATCAGCTATTTTCAAACTATTATTAGTGATGTTGCTTATTCATTTCATTATTTATTAATGTAGCAATTTAATAAATTTATTATCGTTGTCAACGTTTAATGTTTAACATTATTTCTGTACTTTCATTCAGGAAGTGATAATAACGTTATAGATTTAAATTAAACCAACCTCAGCAGATTTTCTAAGATATATTTTAGTAAAACTCGTGGAAATGCAAGAAGGTCGTAAATTTTCAAGTAGAGACACACGACAATGAAAAAAAGGCATGCAACGGCAGGCGTACGTCTGTATATGTATTCCATATTTTTCCATAATGCAGATTATTTATGTGGTTCTTGCCGGAGGGGAAATATTCCGCGTTCGACTCGCTGGTCGCCCTCTCACCTATGTAAATGTATACCAAAAAAAAAGAAAAAAAAAACTTTGGACGTCGCTTCGACTAACCTAAAGGCGATCGTAAGACGCGGGTGAAGGGCGGACCATTACATTATTTTGCGATTTATAGCCAGTAAACGGGCACCGCGATATCGATCGGGGACGCTCCTTCCATGAAGAGCCCCATTTGCCGCAGGGGCATTATTGTGCCCACGAATAAATTTCTCGTAATAAACCCCTCTTTTAATGCATAAATCGGTGACTGTACGTAATATATAGTTTCGGCATCGGTCGTAAAATAGGAGATCGTTTAAGCGTAAAAATTTATCGTTTTTGAACCAATTACTACTATTTCCATCTATACACATTTATTGACGTCTTTGTTTACTATCTCAATCAATCAAACAATACAGTTGCTAGAAGGACCAGATCAAAGCGGTTACATCAAAGTGAAATGCACGTTCTAATTGTAATGCAAGATGTCTTGTGCAGATGTTAAGACGAAATACACAATTTATTGAAATCGCATCCCCTAAATCATTAACTATGTATCTCGGCTAACGATAACAACCGTATCTATTATATATTTACGACACTCGGGGCACTATTCCGCAATTTCCTTAATTGGATTCGATAGCATACATTTATAATGAAACCCGTATCGTTACTGATTTGAAAATAATCTTTTATGTTACAGGAACAAAGTCATAAATCCTACAGGCCATTATGCGTCTTAACATTCCGATGGAACTACTTAATGTGGCAACTAGAACCGATGGGATACCATTTGGTCAATATGCTGTTACATTCCGTCGTTTGTTTGATGTATTTCAGGTAAGAATAAGAATCAATTTTTGAAGTATAGTGATACAATAAAATCTACATACACCACAGAAAATGATAATATCTCTGCTCCTGAAATGTAATTCAATGAATTTTTTAAACGAAGAATATTAGAAGTCTATATTATTTTAATACAAAGTCGAAACAGTACGATTTGAACTACGAAGTGAAGGCTAAACCCGAATTATTCTAATTCTAGGTCGTGTGTAAGTTCTAGTTATAGTGCGAAACTAGAACTGACACTAAATCTAGAACTAGAAACAATCGGGTTTAGCCGCACGTCTCTCAAGACGGCTAAACCCGAATGATTCTTGTTCTAGGTCTTGTGTTGAGACCTAGAGTGCTGCCATCTAGTAACTAATAAGTGCAACGTAGGACGTAGTGCTGCCATCTGTTGATTAATATTAATAATTGTATAAGAAAAGAAAAAATTGACATGTTTGTTTTCAAATTGAGATAAAAAGTCCGAAACTAGTGTAAAACTAGCCGTGCGTCTTCACCGACGCACGGCTAAACCCGAATGTTTCTAGTTCTAGGTCTAGTGTTAGTTCTAGTTTTACACTAGCACTATCACAAGACCTAAAACTAGAAGCATTCGGGTTTAGCCGTCTTGAGAGACGTGCGGCTAAACCCGAATGTTTCTAGTTCTAGGTCTAGTGTTAGTTCTAGTTTTACACTAGCACTATCACTAGAACTAACACAAGACCTAGAACTAGAATCATTCGGGTTTAGCCGTCTTGAGAGACGTGCGGCTAAATCCGAATGTTTCTAGTTCTAGGTCTAATGTTAGTTCTAGTGACAGTGATAGGTAGCGCTAGTTAGCATGAGATATCACTATGTTGCATATTTGTATTGCACTAAAACTAGAACTAACACTATTACTAGAACTAACACAAGACCTAGAACTAGAATCATTCGGGTTTAGCCGTCTTAAGAGACATGCGGCTAAATCCGAATGTTTCTAGTTCTCGGTCTAGTGTTAGTTCTAATTTTACACTAGCACTATCTATGAAATTTCCGGTATGAAAACCGTTTTATGACAATAAGTGGCAGAGTAAAACCTGCGATCCTAAATTCCTTGATTTCCATGAATAAGAAAATAATTATCAAGGGGGTATGGAAATATTTCGAACCACGTGAAAGCCGCCGGCTAATTTTTCGAGAACAATTGAGTTCTATTTTCAACAATGAGTGTCAGAGAATCTCTAGATGAAATTTGCTCGTCGAAACTTCTTAACTATCGTATTCGAGAAAAAATGTTGAAATTTTCTCGTATTACAGCCAAGGACGTTGAAGTTATTAAGTACATTGTTTACCAGTTCTAAATACTTCGCCTCGTTCACTCTTGAAGTTCATAACAGCCTCGTTTCTCTTCTTTCATTTTGGTTGAGTGAATAAATAGGTATCAATGATTTGATGGCTTATTACTAAAAATACGAAATAAATAAAATGTTCAAATATGTGTTCAATATGATCATTAAAAAGGAACATTTAAAACGGCACAAATATTTTTATTGATCTAAAAGAATTTCAATTTCATTACAAACTTCATTCTACTTTTAGTATCTACTCACTGAAATTCCACTCATTGTCTAAATGAAAAGAAAAATTACAGAGGAGAGGACGCCGCTGCTGAATTCCTTTGCGGATTTAATTAAAATTAAAGTCTCTTTCAATCCAGCACTACAAATTATCACATGATATTAAAGACGGACTAAATTTGAAATTACCAAATTGATGTTAAATTATCCTTATGCTTTCTGCTTCCTCTGTTCTCTCAACGCACGAATTTTATACAAAGTACTTAACATCGCAAATAATATTGTAGCAATACTACCCATGTAATATATTCTGAAGGAGCGTCTATGTTTTCTATGTGATGTTAAAACTAATATTAAATTACTGATTTCGTTGCAGTGAAATAGACGTTTTTGTAGGTCTTTTATTCTTCTATGAATGCTATTTTGTATCCAGAGTTCTTTATGAAAATGGTCCATTTTTGCTTGTTCTCCTTTCGCTATACGCTGATAAACGTGGTCGTTAATCTCCATGAAGAACGTCAAAGACGATAAATTTCCATGTAACTGTTCTACTTCTCTCCTTGTAGCTTTTACGGTGTACCCAATATTCATATCGTGAGCAACGTTTTCTAAAATATTATGCAGGTAAAGTTCCAAGACTGTTTGCCATATTGTTAAGCTCACTGATGTGGCTAACATGCAAGAGGTGACGTACTTTTCATGGAAATTATTATTTTCTGGGAGCGTAAATACACCGTCAGGTCCTATTGAACAATATCTAACAGAGATTTCATTGAGATTTATTTATTGTAAAGTACTTTTACCTACTCTTACTAAGTGTGTAATAATTGACATCGAATGATTGCATATGATGATCAACGACGTAACCAAAAATTTGATGTTCTGATAGAATATCCATAACATCTTTGGTATCTTCTTTAGTAAAGTTCCAAAACACCACAACGCCATCCCTAAAAATGAAGGTTTCACGGGATTCCGGCGAATTCTCTTTAAGCGTATGAACCAAATCGACTTCCCCTTTTATTTGATACGCGGAATCGGTTATGTTTAATTTTGTTAAGCTCGGTACAATTTTTTCTAGATTATATTTCGCCGGGCTTCCGTAAGCGGCAATTTTGTATAAATCCGTCGTATGCGCTTCTGGATACTTTTTATAACCGGCTGATTTAAAAACGTGAGTTTTAACCTCCATGAAAATGTTGTTATCGTTAAACTCGTTTTTGTGATCCTTAAATTTTTCCAAGTACCAATTCTGCCACGTTCGACGCATCATTCCTCTAAAACGCGGCAAAATCGTATGCTTTTCACCAAAAATATTATTCAATTTCATTTTGATTAATTCGAAAAAGATTGTCTAAACGTCATTGTTGATATATATAAATATGATATATGTAAATATATGTACAGTGATACAATAAAGTCTACATACAGCCCGGAAAATGACAATATCTCAACTCCCGAAATGTAATTCATTATTATTTATTAATTAACAAAATATGTAAGAAGTCCATATTATTTCCATATTTTACATAAGAACTATATAAGTATTATTAATCAAGGGGAACACAAAACATAATCATATCTTTAACTCAGAAAAGTTTACATACAGTCCTAAAAAAAATCTATCAGTGGCCGTTATAGCTAGTTCTAGAGACAGTAGTAAGTAGCGTAGTTAGCATAAGATATCATTATGTTGCATATTTTTATTGAACTAAAACTGGAACTAACACTAGACCTAGAACTAGAAACATTCGGATTTAGCCGCACGTCTCTCAAGACGGCTAAACCCGAATGATTCTAGTTCTAGGTCTTGTGTTAGTTCTAGTTTTAGTGCAATAAAAATATGCAGCATAGTGATATCTTATGCTAATTAGCGCTACCTACTACTGTCACTAGAACTAATATTAGACTTAGAACTAGATGCATTCGGATTTAGCCGCACGTCTCTCAAGACGGCTAAACCCGAATGATTCTAGTTCTAGGTCTTGTGTTAGTTCTAGTGATAGTGCTAGTGCCAACCTCAAACTAACACTAAACCTTGAACTAGAAACATTCGGATTTAGCCGCACGTCTCTCAAGACGGCTAAATCCGAATGATTCTAGTTCTAGGTCTTGTGTTAGTTCTAGTGATAGTGCTAGTGCCAACCTCAAACTAACACTAAACCTTGAACTAGAAACATTCGGATTTAGCCGTACGTCTCTCAAGACGGCTAAATCCGAATGATTCTAGTTCTAGGTCTTGTGTTAGTGCTAGTGCCAACCTCGAACTAACACTAGACCTTGAACTAGAAACATTCGGATTTAGCCGCACATCTCTCAAGACGGCTAAATCCGAATGATTCTAGTTCTAGATCTTGTGATAGTTGTAGTGATAGTGTAAAACTAGAACTAACACTAGACCTAGAACTAGAAAGTATCGGGTTTAGCCGTGTGTCTCTCAAGATGGCTAAACCCGAATGATTCTAGTTCTAGATCTTGTGTTAGTTGTAGTGATAGTGTAAACATTCGGATTTAGCCGTGCGTCTTCAGACTTGAGAGATACTTTCTAGTTCTAGGTCTAGTGCTAGTTCTAGTTTTTGCGCAATAAAAATATGCAACATAATGATATCTTATGCCAACTAGCGCTACCTACCACTGTCACTAGAACTAAAATTAAACCTAGAAGTAGAAACATTCAGATTTAGCAATCTTAAGAGACGGACGGCTAAACGGAATGTTTCTAGTTCTAGGTCTAGTGTTAGTTCTAGTACTAGTGTTAGACTAGTTTTATTTCTTATTCTAGATTGTTGTATATTTTTATTAAGCTCCTATATCTACCCGTATTGATTCGTTATATCGAGGTTTTACTGTAATATCAAATTATATTACCTATGCGAAGTTAGCCTCCAATTAGATAGGATTTCACATATATAGTATTTTGATTATAACATGAGAACCAGTTAACCGATTTCGATAAACAATGTTTCATTCGAAAGCTTAATCCTTGGCCAATACGAATGTGGAGATGCACGATTTGAAATCTCTTTCGAATTCGACTAAAACGCCAAAATAATGCGAAGATACACAAAAATAACCTAAAATTGACCTTCTTTAAGTAGTGATAACTCATAAACGATGTACCCGATGATCAAGATCTATACGTCATTCGATTCGTCATAATGTCTGACGTAGATTTAGGTGGTATAGTACTTCTTAGATAGGCAAGAAAGTTATTCTAGGTGATGATAACAACCAATATATAGGTTGATGATACATTGTAAAAATGTTGATATCTCAATATTTTAATACTGATTTTCCAATAAAACCATATTAACCATTACACGAAGAAGAAGTTATCAGTATGCCATTTAAGTGTACTCCGGCGATTTATAATTTCGATCTAGACTATTTGAGGAATGCTAGGTGATCACAATCCTCTCAAATCTAATTGCATTGGGTTCGGTTGGGTTGAGTTGGGTTGAAATCATTTTTTTGATGTGATAAGGCAGATGAACTGTTAATGTGCAAACATATATAGGAGTGCTCTTCGTTATTAAACCAATTTTTGATAGGATGAAGTGAGTGATGGTGATTTGACTTTATATTATATGTAAAGTTTTGATTTAATATGCGATGGATAAAGAATTCAAATACAGAATTCAGCCAGAAGTCTTCAGAAACTTTCTAGTTCTAGGTCTAGTGTTAGTTCTAGTTTTACACTAGCACTGTTATTAACATTCGGGTTTAGCCGCACGTCTCTCAACACGACTAAACCCGAATGATTCTAGTTCTAGTTCTTGTGTTAGTTCTAGTTTTATACTAGCACTATCGGATACCGCTGAGAACGAGTGGAGGGGGGAAATCGTATCGTTTTGTTACAAAAGTTCCGTGCCCTGGTTACAATAAACCAAAAAGTAGTGCGCTTTGTCCATTACCCTGTAACTTGTTTAAATATTCATAAAGATGTACTAGATAATGGAAGAGTCCTCTATTAATTTTAGTCCGCATGGTCATTATATGCTTTTGCGGGACGTTAATAAAACAATGCTTGTAATATGAAGAAAGGGTTTGTTGAATAAGTAATAGGATGACGAGGCAAGTCGATCGACTGTCGTATTTGTGCGCAGCATGCAATAATCGTAAATTCCGTATTCTCTGTCATCGCAAGCGGCGTCGCCCGGTTTGCTGCTGCCATCAGTGAATTGTGGAGGCACTCCATCTATTTGACACGCTTTTACCGGGTCTCTGTTTCGTGTCAGATGGGGCCAAATAGCTACAATTAATAGCCCAGGAAGAAATTTGGGAATTAATGTAGCTCCCATTACTCATCGAAAACGTATCTGACCTTTAATCATCTAAGATCTCTCATAACCCATTTCCAGTATCAAAACACTCCCATGATCGTTGAATGAAACATGTATTGTATTGTATAGCTAGTTGAAAAGCAAATATGCTCGTTAATACGCAGGTATCTCCGTTTAGGTAGAATATTTGCGTAAACACCGCGAGCAAAACCAACACCGACTGGTGTTTAATTATTGATTTAAGCGTCGGAGAATTGCTTTGTGGTTGTGAATTATTTTCGTCCCATTCTCGAGGGCTTTCACAAGGTCCCCTATTCAAACTCGGGCGAGGAGAAACTTGCAACGTGTCGATACGCGACCGACACAAAAAAAAATCACACAAAAGTTCATACCGGAACGTGAAGTCTATACATTGTTGTGTAGCAACAAGTTCTGCTTGGCCTTCTGGGTGCGACACGCGAATTTCTTTTTCGTTGACTTGTAGCCGACTTCCTCGTTAGTTATTTAGAAGCAAACTTTATCTAGACACTTGCCAGGAGTTGTGGTCGCCGAAGCAAGTAGAGAAGCAGAAAACATCGGTCCCGTCAGCTCTTTGCGACCTCTACCGGAAAATTACGAAAGTCGAGACCCACGAGAGTCGGTATTTGGCGAATTTATATATGCAATGGAATTACAAACCGTATTTCTCATGGTCGTTTCTCATTTATATTGCATTACAGTGCAAAGTTATTACTAAATTTGTAATTTTCTGTTTTATTATTTTTATATGCCATTTTAATGAGATGTTGTTTTTAATTTAATTGAAATTTCGTTGTAAACATAACTAATTGAATTGCTTTACATTCTACAATGAATTTCAGTTAAGAGACAATATACAAAAATATATTTCCATAGAAAATAGGGCGTATCTACTTACTTTGTACCACATCATCAAGACGTCTGGAGAGACGTGCGGCTAAACCCCAATGTTTTTAGTTCTAGGTCTTGTGTTAGTTCTAGTGATAGTGCTAGTATAAAACTAAATAAATAGTTAAATTGTTCCTGAAACAATTCTAAACAAACTTTGTCAACACTTTTTTTTGATTTAATCAATAATTAAGGAGATAACCTCAAAATAATAATTTTTCCGTTTTTACACGTAATGCTTAATTAATAGAGATGTAAACATTTTTTATTAAGATAATTGATTCAAAATCGAAATTGAAACAAATTTTATTTAAAACATTTTTTGATAAAAACAATATTTATCGAGATAATTAATTTTGATAGCATATTATTCAGAGGGAAATTAAAATTTCAAGTTAGCAAAAAATTGTATTAACAAACACTGTTCCTGAAGTAATTCTAAACAAATTTTGTTAACAACATTTTTTGATTAAATCAACAATAAGGATATAACCTCAAAAAAAATTTTTATATATATATTTTTGTATGAAATTTTCTGCTGAGAACGAGTGGAGGGGGGAAATCGTATCGTTTTGTTACAAAAGTTCCGTGCCCTAGTTGTAACTCCTACTTTAACTATTAAGCGACGAAATAGATTTCAAAACTCAAATTGAAAAATGATGTCCTATTTTGAGTATTAATAAATACAACATTTTTTGGTTACTTATTTTAATCTCTTGTCTATAAAACAAGAGATTTAATGCAAAAACGTACCCACATAACGTTGAATTCAAATAGCTCGAAGCAATCAAGTTCTATTGTATGAAGGGTTTCTGTAGTGTAACAAAAAGGTTAATACATTCTATTAGAACCGCCGATGAATGTATCATTGTTAGATTGAGTTTTGCGAGTGCTTATTGGAAAATTGAGTTGGCTGCGGGCATACAACACAGCGAAAAGCTTACCACACAGTTGGATATAATTTCAATTATAACCAAAACGTCCTATTCGGCTCGAATGACATGGAGCTCCATTACGGCAGAGATGTGAATTATATTGGAAATTGTAGTACTTCTTTTGTAACCGTTACGAGTTGCGTTCGAGTTCTCTAATTACTTTATGCCATCTATAAGCTTCGGTGAGCTCGCTTTTTGTTTTTGTATTTTCACCCCGAGGGCTTTTAGTTTAAAAATAGTTGGTCGGGAAATACGCGGAGTTGTTTTAAAGTAGCTCCCAAAAAGTCAAAACAATTCTTAGAGAGAAACTTGCATCGATTGAAGTGGTTCATATTAAAGTATGTGAATATAGTACGTCATGTTTGGAACATTGAGAAGTCGACGAGGCGCGAAATCTTTTGAAAAGTTGCCCATTTAGAGACCCATTACGGGTTCGCAAGTAATTGAACTTATGATGCGTCCAACTCCTCTAATCTCGTAGAACTGCAAAGTTCCGGGTTTTATTAAATTGGAGTCGTTCTAAACGACGGCCGTGTGGCCTCTATAAGTTACCGACAAAGTTCTAGTACGGTGGCGATTTCTGTTTGAGAACACCGCTTCTCAAATTTATAACAAACAGATCGATAACGGACAACGTAGTTTCAGTTTGCGCCGCGGCATGAATTCCAGTATTTGCTCTTCTTTGTCCGAGGCGGAGATGACGTGAGGGTACGAAATGGAACGCCGAAAACTTTTCGAAAACTTGTATATTTAAAAATAATCGTTCCAAAACTTAGTTTGCAACTATTTTCATAACTAGTATTTGTTTTATTCGCCGGTGGAAGTTTTGATCCGAGTAAATATTAGCAAATAATTAATTTGTATTCATGAAGTGTAGCAATGTAACAGCTTTTAATCTCGTAAAGTTGCGAAAACCGTGCGCGTTAACGGTTTGTCGGCGGAAATGTGTTAACGCTCTGCACCAAACATCAAAAGTTGGATAGCACGCCGCCGCATTAGAGCGAGAACTAGAAACACAACTCCATAAATTAATTAATGCTGCTAAAATAGACCCGGTTGGACGATCTTGTAACGGCAAACGTCTCCAATTTCAGGATGTGCTCCATGTTCCTGCCTGAGCTGTCAAGTTTCGTAGCGGCTATGCTGTTCGCAGTGCACCCCATTCACACCGAAGCGGTAAGTTGTATCAGTATATTTAACTAACCTAAAGCATGTAGAGAGAAAACTTAATAAGTTGAGTAGTGTTCTTCGACTGGTGCATATTAGATCACCAATTTTGTAACCTAGCACTTTGTGCTCAAAGATCAAAGGAGGCGAGAACTCGTTTTCCTCCGGAAGATCGATACTTTATTTCATTAAGGAAAGACAAGGTCGGCCCCCTTTGAGCGCGATCTTTTGTTCTTCCGCCAGATTTATTTATTTACGGCGCCTAATTTCTCTAGTCTTCTCTCCCTTTAAGTTTGGTTAGGTTCACTCACGTTCTCGGACATCACTTGAAGAACCAATTCTGTTTATTATTCCCCATATAATACCATGTAAAATTAACCTCTAATGAATAAATTAAACCGAGTCTTGAGATTTCATCTACTTAAAATTTAATCTTGTGCCGGCGCCTTCGCCAGCTTCTTATGTGCGGTTGCAGTTAACCGAATCTTAATTATGCATAATAAAGTTTACGCTTCCAGTCACCAGTTGCAATCATTTAATATTAATTGGATTGTTTGTAATGCTTAAGTATTGTGATTTTTAAATTAAAAGTATAATAAAACTGATAGAAATAAACTACAATGTGTAAAACATTTACGATAAACACTAAAATCGTAATGTATAATCGGATTTTATCGATCGATCAGGTTTGCCAATTTAATCAAAAAGTAAAAAATGATTATACAGAAAAAATTCACAAAAGTACCTAAATTTGATGATTAATACGAAAGAAATTGTTATAACTAAAAATTAAAAAATGGTGGAAGTAAGTTTTTATACAGAAAGTCATCAGAATTAATACTAAAATCAATATCCACAATTGGTTGTAATCCATCGATCAGTTTCGCCAACATATTCAAGTCGAAAAGCAAAAATACCTGATTTTGATAATTTGTACAAAAGAATTTGTTGTAACTCAAAAAGTAAAAAAAGATTGAAGTAATTTCTTATACATAAAAGATTCACAATGAACCCTAAAATCAAAATCCATAATCAGATTTAGCTTATGGATCAGTTTTGCCAAACCTGTTCAAGTCAAAAAAGAAAAGTACCTATTTTTATAAATTTGATGATTAATACAAAAGAAGTTGTTATAACTACAAATTAAAAAATGGGGGAAGTAACTTTTTATACAGAAAATATTCACAATGAACCCTAAAATCAAAATCCATAATCAGGTTTAGCTTCTGGGTCAGTTTTGCCAACGTGTTCAAGTCAAAAAGCAAAAGTACCTAAATTTGATGATTAATACAAAAGAAGTTGTTATAACTAAAAATTAAAAAATGGTGGAAGTAAGTTTTTATACAGAAAGCTGTCGGAATCAATCCTAAAATCAATATCTATAATTGATTCTAATCCATCGATCAGTTTCGCCAACATATTCAAGTCGAAAAGCAAAAATACCTGATTTTGATGATTTGTACAAAAGAATTTGTTGTAACTCAAAAAGTAAAAAAAGATTGAAGCAACTTCTTATACAGAAAATATTCACAATGAACCCTAAAATTAAAATCCATAATCAGGTATAGCTTCTGGGTCAGTTTTGCCAACCTGTTCAAGTCAAAAAGCAAAAGTACCTAAATTTGATGATTAATACAAAAGAAGTTGTTATAACTAAAAATTAAAAAATGGCGGAGGTAATTTTTTATGCAGAAAGCCGCCAGAATTAATCCTACAATCAATATCTATAATTGGTTTTAATTCATCGATCAGTTTCGCCAACATATTCAAGTCGAAAAGCAAAAATACCTGATTTTGATGATTTGTACAAAATAATTTGTTGTAACTCAAAAAGTAAAAAAAGATTGAAGTAATTTCTTGTAAAGAAAATATTCACAATGAACCCTAAAATCAAAATCCATAATCATATTTAGCTTCTGGATCAGTTTTGCCAAACCTGTTCAAGTCAAAAAGGAAAAGTACCTATATTTGATGATTTGAAGAAAAGAAGTTGTTATAACTAAAAATTTAAAAATGACGGAAGTAAGTTTTTATACAGAAAGCCGTCAGAATAAATCGTAAAATCAATATCCATAATTGGTTTTAATCCATCGATCAGTTTGGCCAACATATTCAAGTCGAAAAGCAAAAATACCTGATTTTGATGATTTGTACAAAAGAATTTGTTGTAACTCAAAAAGTAAAAAAAGATTGAAGTAACTTCTTATACAGAAAAGATTCACAATGAACCCTAAAATCAAAATCCATAATCAGGTTTAGCTTCTGGATCAGTTTTGCCAACCTGTTCAAGTCAAAAAGCAAAAGTACCTAAATTTGATGATTAATGCAAAAGAAGTTGTTATAACTAAACATTAAAAAATGACGGAAGTAAGTTTTTATACAGAAAGCCGTCAGAATCAATCCTAAAATCAATATCTATAATTGGTTTTAATCCGTCGATCAGTTTCGCCAACATATTCAAGTCGAAAAGCAAAAATACCTGATTTTGATGATTTGTACAAAAGAATTTGTTGTAACTCAAAAAGTAAAAAGAGGTTGAAGTAACTTCTTATACAGAAAATATTCACAATGAACCCTAAAATCAAAATCCATAATCATGTTTAGCTTTTGTGTCAGTTTTGCCAACCTGTTCAAGTCAAAAAGCAAAAATGCCTAAATTTGATGATTAATACAAAAGAAGTTGTTATAACTAAAAATTAAAAAATGGTGGAAGTAAGTTTTTACACAGAAAGTCATCAGAATTAATCCTAAAATCAATATCCATAATTAATTCTAATCCATCGATCAGTTTCGCCAACATATTCAAGTTGAAAAGCAAAAATGCCCGATTTTGACAATTTGTACAAATAAACATGTTATAACTCAAAAAGTAAAAAGATGTTGAAGCAAATTCTTATACAGAAAAGATTCACTACAAGCCCTGAAATCAAAATCCATAATCAGGTTTAGCTTCTGGATCAGTTTTGCCAAACCTGTTCAAGTCAAAAAAGAAAAGTACCTAAATTGGATGATTAATACAAAAGAAGTTGCTATAACTAAAAATTAAAAAATGGTGGAAGTAAGTTTTTATACAGAAAGTCATCAGAATTAATCCTAAAATCAATATCCATAATTGGTTTTAATCCATCGATCAGTTTCGCCAAGATATTCAAGTCGAAAAGCAAAAATACCTGATTTTGACAATTTGTACAAATAAACATGGTATAACTCAAAAAGTAAAAAGAGGTTGAAGTAACTTCTTATACAAAAAACATTCACAACCACCCTTAAAAACAAAATCCATAATTGGTTTTAACTCGTCGATCAGTTTTGCCAACTTACACAACATAATAATCAAAAATACCTAAATCTGTGACTTTGAGTTGTGTCTTAAAAACTAAAAATGATGGAAATAAGTGTTTATGTAGAAAGTGTTTACAATTAATTCTAAAACCATAATTTATACTCGGTTTTAAAATATCAATCAGTGTTGCCAACGTAATATTATACCTATTTTAATGGTTTTGAGGCATATATTGCAGTTGTATCAAATCAAAATCTCAATTTATATTTGTTAGAGATCTTTAATATAATATTCTTTTACTTTTGATTTTCGATTTAATCCTTAAAGATAGTATATTAGAGCTGTCGTTAATCCGTACGTATCTCCCAAAAGTCGTTAGGGTATTTTACGGTCTCATTCCCGAGATGGCGATAATCCGTCGGTTATAATGGTAATTACGGGAAAATTACGGCGACTAGACTCATTTCCGATGACCGTTTAGGTGGTTTAAGGTGTATTTAAGAGATGGATCTAAAATAGAAAGAAAATTCGTTCTTTACTAATGTTTAACGTTATCGTTAATTTAAAATGAATCCCTGCAAGTATAATAACCGAAAAGCTTTTTCATGTATTTCAATGTGCGTCTCTTGAAACTACACAAAAGTAGAAGTCCAATAATCGCGACATTTCCTTCGATTTCAGTCGAGAAGTATCAAAGTGCCGTAACGGGCGGTCTGGGGGGCGTCACTACGCCGCAGATCCGAAATAAACCGATGCACTTTGCATAATCTTTGGGGCGCCGCGGGGTGCAACTCGCGCTCTTTTATGCGCGTCCCGACGAGCGCCATTTTAAATTGGCAATTTCGCCCGCAACGCGGCAATCTGCCGGGGAAGTACTGAAATGGGATGGGTGAAACTCCGTCGCCGATGATGACCCGGTGCACTTTGGTGATATCCCATCGACATATTTCCCTCCACTTTCGTATTATATTTCGCTTGGTTTCGCGGGGTGCGGCAGCATTTCCCGATACGCAATTTCCCTCGGTAGGGATAAAGGGCTTTATACACGGGTCAATTCGCGAAATAATCAAGTACGAACCTGCAAGCGGAAATACATACTCGGTTTCTGCTTAATATCGTATATAGAACTTCTCATTTCATACTCAAGGCTGAATCTTTTGTTGTTTTCTTAATTTTTTTATACTTTTTCATTTCTACATTTTTTATGTGTCAGTATAAGTTTTGTAATTTCGATTTTAGTGCAGCCTCAGGTGTTGTTATTACGCTTCTGGTAATAATAGGTTTATGGGGTAGGTAGCTCTCTGAAAATCAATTACAAGTACAACAATGCATTTCGGACTAATCACGCAATCAGTTCAACAATAATTTCAATTTGCGAATTACGCACGACATAACCGATCCTCATTCAAGCTTGATTAATTTTTCGCGTAGACAGATATTTTATTTTACCTTGTTTATTCGACGTTCATTAAAATAAACATTCGATGGTATTTATGAAAATTAAATCTGGTAATTTGAAATCCGTAGTTTTGTTGATGTTACTTTGTTTTGTTTTTAATTTTAATGAAATTGTAACAAAAAATGGGGAATTGAATAATAAATTATTTTCTGTAACTAGACTGGAAGATAATCCATCTGGCTCTCCGGACGTTTAATGTTCTGCGACTCTAATTCCACCCTCATCCTTTTTTTAGGTGACCGGAGTTGTTGGAAGAGCGGAGACTTTATCGTCGGTGTTCTTCCTCGCCGCGTTTATGTTCTACAGTCGAGCGGCTAGAAGCAGAAAAGTTACTGGTAAGTGATCCGTACAAATCCTCTTTTCCGATTGAATTAGACGCCTAGTTCTGTACAATCAATTTATTCCACGGTCGGGCGATACGCAAATCCTAGATTTTCCTAAATTCCTACTGCTTTTCGCAGGATTTACCCAACTGTCCATTCTACTAAATGTTTTTAAGCCGACTTTACATCATTCAAAATAACTACTTATACTCTATTTTTTAATTCGGAGGAATAAAACGAAAGGGCACGTTTACACAGTGTAAGTTTTCAAAGCTATTTTTTGGCAGAACTTTTAAAACCAGAAAGGATTTTAAGTAAACTGTAGTTTAACCGACCTATGCACCTAAATCCGAATGTTTCTAGTTCTCGGTCTAGTGTTAGTTCTAGTTTTTCAAGAGCACTATCACTAGAACTAACACAAGACCTAGAACTAAAATCATTCGGGTTTAGCCGTCTTGAAAGACGTGGGGCTAAATCCGAATGTTTCTAGTTCTCGGTCTAGTGTTAGTTTTAGTGGCAGTGATTATTTCAAAAATTTATTTCTCAAGAACTAAAAGTGATTTTTCAAAATGACCTTTTGCATTAAAAAGACCATACTTTAATTAATAATTGGTGATATTTCCACAAGGATCCTTCAAGAAATTAATTTTATAGCGCATTTTGAAAATTAGCGATGAAAATTGCAACTCGAAAATTTTATCACAACTTCAAATATTGTTTTCTCAAAAACTAAAAGTTATTTTTCAAAACGTGATGTTTCATTGGAAAGAGGACACTCTGATTAACACTTTGGGAAATTTTCATACTGATATTCCAAGAAATGGATTTTATACGAATTTTTAAAACTTAATCGGCGAAAATTGCAAAATTCTCAAGAACTGAAAATAATTTTTCAAAACGGTTTTTTGCATTAAAAAGAGGATACTTTAATTAATAATCGAAAGTGATAACAGCGACAGTTCTGTTAGTAATGAACGTGATGATGAATTCTAAGTAAAGAGAAGAAACTGCAACAAGAGATTTTATATATCGTATCCTATGTCGTCCTATTGGGGTTGAACTTTATTATTACCTCCAGTGTCCAACCCCTAAAAGAGATAGTAATTCCTGTGAATGGTGGAGTACTTGATAGTTGCCTTCTTATTGAACTAAAGCTAGAACTAACCCAAAACCTAGAACTAGAATAATTCGAGTTTCTAGGCTGTTTTTTCGTCCATTTTTTTTTAAAATGGAGTATAGTAAACTAGAATTTTAGGTTCAATTCTAAAGTTTCCCCTCGATGGGAATACGCCTTAATTCCTCTTCGTGTTTCGTTCGTGGAATAGAAAGAAGAGACGGACGCCTGGCGGCGGCGTTCCGGACCAATCAGCAAAATTACGTGTGCCGGTTCGAAATGGCCCTATTTTTGTTTGTTGTCGCGGGACCGAGTCGAGGGTTGAATACCATCGGAAGAATCAGACCCTCTCCGACGGCTCCTAATGGCATTCCACTCGTATTTCAACCGATTATGGTAATAAGTGGAAGGACGAAGGCACTGCATATATGTCGATGTACCATTCCAAGAATTGCTCTCCGTTCGGGTCATATCCCCGAGAAATATTTCAACTCATCTTTAGGTCAACTCGACTGGAAGGGTTCAAATTCTTAAAATACCTCTCTATGAGATCTATGCGATCCGTTTAATACGAATTAAATTTGAAAATCATCTCATAGATGGTACAAGATAATCGGAATTAAGGTGGTAAATGATGTGGTTTCTGGGTACAAACAACCTGACCACGCCCCCATTGCATCGATAATGTGTGCGACGGTGGTAGAGGACGACGCCCTGCACCCATCGCCTTAACGCGTTCCGGCACCGATCCCGGAGCTGAACTCGGTGGAGGTGTTAATTTGCACGTCGCCGCTGACGTAGTCGATAATACTTGAAATTTATGCGTTCATGGGCGACCTGCGCAGCCCCCCTCAACGTTCAACGTAACTTAATTGCGATTCGCGCCCGGGCTCCACCACCTCCAACTTATAAGGAATGATGATATTGCTCCCCATTTTCACGGAAAGGAACTAAACTTTGCTATTACAGGTTTATTATTAGTTTAAAATAACTTTTAAACATTGATTAATTGCTTTTGGAAATAGAGAAGATTGTAAACGTTATGTTAAAAAAAAAACAAATTAGATAGTTTTCTTCTGGACAACACTAAATAGTTGCTTTTGACAACTTTAGACATTAATATCATCCTTGACAAAAATCCCCTTTACCTCTGAAATCTCTCCAAATCATCTGTTTTATCTTTTGGCAACATCACTTTATGTTTCTATATTGTGCCTCAACATCAGCATAGGTCAATATCATGTCAAGCATCTTTTAATAGCATTCGTGTTAACCAAACATCCCTCAATATCGTCACTGGAACTCTTAAACATAGATATTCCTCATCATCCTTGATACCTGCAACATCAATGATATATAAGATGATATATAAGGATCAGACGTATTGAAAACATCTTGATTGGAGGCAATCCTTGAACATTTCCGAGCGTTATGTAACCGGTATTTTTTGTAAACTTTCTTTGCATCTTCTGAAAGTTGTCCTATTGGTAATACAGCATATTATATGATGCTTTCACCGTGTATAAGTATTTTGTGTACTGAAGCAGGCATATAGTACCATTTATATAGCTCTATATTCCCCAAACTTTTTGGCATCTATGGCTCTTCCGCTGGCTAATGTTTGAAGAATTATGGAAAACCTTTTAATTAACTCCTCATCTACTCCTGTAATACCTCCTGTGCAAGAAGGATTAGAAAAGAATCTTCTAGCAGTGTTACCATCGTTGCAGTTTCCAGTACTTTGTCGAGACTTATCAATAATTATACCTACTTCATCTCTAAATCGGTCTTGTACTTGTTTTTTTGTGTGTAAAGGATGAAAGATTGTACGAGATATGAAGAACCAATTCCATAAATCTGATCCAAAAGTGTAAAGATGAGAAACCAAATTTATATGTATCTACTCGAGATGGTCTTGCTGTTACCTTCTTCAGATTATTCATGATGTAGAATGAGTGTCTGTTAATGTGCATACTTTGCCATCGATCATTGTAAAAAATAATTGATAGTTTACACTAAATTGCTGAACACCTACCATTATAAGTGTTGACTCTAACTTATCAATTTGGGATTCTATATTTGAAGCTAGACATCTGGTTCTCTCTGCAGTTTCTTTTGCAAACTCTATAGATATTGATCTACAGAATCGAGTTGAAGAAGGAGTTGGGTTATCCCATAATATTGATGAAATAAACAAATGAGAATCGGTTATTTCATCTGTTTCACCTGGCAGAATTTGTTTATATTGTTTACATCCTCACTTACACATTAATATGAGATCAGTTACCGTAAGATATTTTAACGCTTCCTCTAGTTGTGTTTTAAAAAGTCTCTTGGTGGTGTGGTCAAGTAAACTTTGTAATGTTATACTAGAACTTACTGGTGTTACAGTTATCGATAGAGGATCTGGGTAACAATCTTTCTTTGCGCTCTGAACTTGGTAATAACTAGATAATAATTTGCATCCTTGTGTTTCAGCGTATGATCGTAATATATTATACTGATACCTAGATAGTCCTATATCTGCCATTAGAGCCAACGAATTTTCTTTACTAAATGGACTTTCGATACCTTCATTTTGAAATAATACACGATAAACCAAATCTTGCCGGTCTGTTGATGTATTTTTTATACTTCCAATATTATTTGCGTTCCTAATTTGCACTTCCACACCAATAGAGACGTAATATCAGATCCCTAGAAGGTTGTACCGATCGGAGCGAAATCCACTCCATGCGGCAATTAAAAAAATATATATTTCTTCAAATGGGGCAAAAACGAGCACGAGATTTTATTATGAGCAGATTCTACATTAAATGGGGAATCTTTTGATACCAAACTCTAGTCGTAGGTAGATTTAGCTCACAGTCTTATATAAAAGAAAAGCTAGCAAGAAAATTAGCGAAGGTAATGACATGTTCTTGTATAAAATGAATAGAATACATATCAAAGTTAGTATATACAAAAAATCCGAAGTATTTCCGAAATGATTTCTAAAATAAAAAGATTTGAAAATTATCGATGAAAATTGCAACATCGAAAATTTTATCAAAACTTCAAATATTGTTTTCTCAAAAACTAAAAGTTATTTTTCAAAACGTGTTGGTTCATTGGAAAGAGGACACTTTTGTTAACACTTTGGGAAATTTTTATACTCATATTCCAAGAAAGGGATTTTATACGAATTTTATTTATATA